AAAGTCTATGACAGAATATCTTCAAAACATTTTGTTTCAAACAGTATCCAGGATGTCCTATTTGAGAGCAAAGCTGGAAAACCTGAAACAGAAGTTGAAGGTTGATCTTTTCAGAGAAGTTGGTCGCCAGTATCCAGTCTTCTGTTTTATTTTGGTGTTCTTACTCATATCTACAGTTATTTTGAACAGGTAATTTCTACTAACTCGATGCACATCATTGGGATAGTTAATATGCAGTTTTTTAGCAGTCTTTTCATTTTTTTCAATTAAACATTTTTTCTTGATGCTGAACCAGCGTGTATGTAATACAAAGTATCATTTAACATTTGGATATAAACAGAAATAGTGTCAAATCTAATCCTGTCATGTATCCGTTTACAGAAAATGGAAAATGGATTATGCCTACATAATGTAAAGAAAAAATGAACACCTACAACGTGTTCACTTTTGAGTTGATGTGAACTGCCAGTTAACTATGGCTACAAATATGAACTGTGGGATTTGGAGATTCTTATTTGCCCGTGCAGTAGGTATTTTGTGTTAAACTCATGTCATAAAATTGTAAATCAAAATTAAGCGCTAAGCCACATACTGCATATTCATAAAGCTAGCATCGCAGGAGACTAATCGTAGTTCGAGTAGGGAGCTGCATCAGCATGCGGAGGCTGCAAAGGAGCAAGTAAAGGTTTATTCCCTGCTGAGAAGACAAGAATGTTTAGGCTGAGGAGCGACACCTGAAGAAGGCTACACAGCCGAAACATTGTTTCCTTTCTTCTCTTTTCAGCATGGAATAAACCTTTACTTGTTCCATGTCAGACTAATCTCTGAGTAGTACCATCCTGAAGGACAGCAGTATTGTAAATATGTGGGCACCAAGATTGATGAGATGTGGAAATTGTTTCTTTGGTAGCTTGGTTTGTTCTGTATGTGAACACCAATGCCTGTAGCTGAAAGTGCTGGAACATTGTGAATAGGTAATCTATTTTTTGTTACTTTAATAAAGCTCCATATGCTATTAATTTATCTATTGAAAAGGAATATCTGCATACATGTTGTAAATTGCAGCGATCTTTTTAGATGTTAGCTGTTGGTCATCTTCATACAATGGCCCCTTTAATGTAATTGTATCAGTATTTTAGTCCGATACGCAATATGATCTGGGATCAATAGTATCTCAGCAAGAAATATTTGTGAGTGGAAGACATCTTTGATCAATCTTTTGCAGATCACTGCACAATACTGTGTGGAATAAGTGGACATCTGTGTATACTGAAACACTTTAGTCATTTGGTAATTTCATTCGTGACCATTACCTTTTGACTATGCAGTAAAAAAACAAACAATGAAGAATCATGCATCTAGTTAATCAATACCATAGCTCTGTGGAAGAGAGCTGTTGCTAGCAGAAACATTGTTGCATGAATTTATTAGGTTCAAATACCTTCCATACCTGATTCTGAACCTCAGCAGGCTGCTAGCTGGCAAAAAGCACCCATTATCTGCCCGTATACAATGAACCCTGTATAATAACCCAATGATAACAGCTAGTCTGTTTTGCAAAGGAACATCTAGCCTGGTCATTTTCTACATTTCAACTAAATCAAGAGAGCAGCACAGGCTGCCACAATTCAAAGTGCTGACATTAATTAGGGCAATCGCTGGTTCTTCTGTCTCTCTGCAGCAAGGAGAAGTGAGCTTGTTAAATCTAAATTGTCATTGTTAAAATTCCCTGGGAGTGTGGCTCTCTTGCTCATGCAGCCTCAGGGTTTTCTTTTGTGTGCAGATTAAAGCATTTCTCTTTTATACGTTTGGAATTGGAATTCTGCTAGAAACTGAAGAAAGCTGGGTCCAATTCCAGTAATGAGCTAGCTTGAGCTGGAAGCTTTTTTTTGTTTGTTTTGTTCTGCCAAATGAGAGACTGTACAGTAATGCAAGTGTTATCAGGATTACAGTTCAAGTTCCTACAGGGTTATTCCCAGTACTTAAGGCATCTGACCTTCTGCAGCATTTGCTTTGTAATGTACACTTTCTCCAATTCTGGTGATTCTTGTTTAGGCACTTCTGACCATAATAATCAATAAACTTTGATCCAAATAGGTGTCTTCCATGTTATCTCCTCAATGAAGCACTGTGAGTGGAGGATTGTACGACATGGGAAGCTTTATTTTAAAGCATTATGCTCACTCAAACACCTTTTTGGGTCATTGTGTCCCATTTATGTGTAGTTAGATGATACTGAAAAAAATGTACCAACAAATCCTTATATTACCAGACGTCAAGGCAAATATAACAGTTATTTTCAGTATTTGTCAAGTACTGCCTTTGTTAACAAATAGCAGGTCAACCCATACTTGTTATCCTGAATTCTTAGTAAATTAGCCTATGGCTTTTGTTAGGGACTGATTTTATATAAACGTGTTGCTCATAAGATCTGAAAATGTCTGCACTTTTGAAAAATAAATCAACTGAATAGTTCCTGTAATTTACTTTGTAAAAAATGGTTTTGAACATTTAAAACTATTTTATCTGCAAAAAAAAAGATCACATGGAGTTATACTTGCCTCAGTTCTGTAAGTTATGTCTACTGATTTAGATCCTGATTTTTTAAATGCTATTCCACCGAGTGCCTTTTTAATGAAACTGTCTTTGAAGGTACCTTCACATTTTGATGGTTTTCTGGTCGTTCCTGGCTGGAATTGTCACATTTTACTGTTCCCTGGGACCTGAGTCTCTTTTGCCCAACATCATTTTCAAACTAAAGCCAAAAAACAAGGTACTGAAGTAATCTCTGAAACCTTTGTTTTAGAAATTATTTTTAGCAAGTCGATGGTTACTAAGTAAGCCTTTCTGGGTGTGTTTCTTTATGTCAACAGCAGGAACAGCAGGAGCTGTTTCCTTTGGGACACAGCTGTGCCGTCTGTGGAAAAATCAAGTGCAAAAGACACAGGTATGTGAGATTTATTGATTGTAAAGTTTCAGACACAAGTAATGCTCATAAGCATGTTTTATCCTCATGTCCATAGAATTCAGTGTAACATTTGAGATCTTTCTCATTGTCTGCCAGTGAGGCTATTCCCTCAATGTTTTTTGTCATTAGTTAAATATAACGTTAAATATTTAGTTAGTTAAATATCTGTTATGCAATCATTTATAGCAAGTACTGTATACTCAAGACATTGCATTAGAATATATTCCTTTTAAGGAGTGTAAACATTATTCTGTGTTAATGCCTTTCTGTCCTTAAATGTGTCAGACCCAAAAACAACATCCATCCTTAATGCTATTATGGTCTTCAGTGGTCAAGAATACATTTTCAGTGTAAAATTGCATTTGAAATGTATTCATGTTAGATGTCTTTGTTTACAAAATCAGCAGGCTTTCACTCTTACTTGGGAATTTTACAATGATTTGACATAAAGCAAAAGGTTTGTTTTCTATAATGCTTTAAGGCGTTTGAAAAGCTTGCTTTGTAACTGGGCCAGTGAGTAGATGAAGACGCACGGGGAAGCTTGGAGATGGGGCTCTTCACAGCTGCTGCAAGTGATTTGGGTTCGGATGTACCTGTTGGGCTGCCTCCTGTTTAGAAGTTCTGAAGAAATGATGATTGCTGATAACAGGACTGATCTTGTAAAATTCTATCCCAGTGAAAATGGATCAGTTCCCTTCAGGAGCAGGTTGAAAAATACTACTAATAACAATAACCTATACTATTAATAAACCGATTACTTGTTCCTTTGCAGCCTACTAATAACAAGCCTAGTATAGATTTGGGGAATATTCACTAAAGGCTGATGATTTTACTTGTGAACCAAGAAAGGCCTTTTTAACTAATGTCAGGTCAGAATTATAATAAATTTGGTTAAAATACAGCTTTGCATTGTGAAGCCCAAATGACAGAGCTCTTATTATTATTAAAAATGCTAAATTGTATGTGTATTGCTGTACATTATTTTCTAAGGTATTTTGTATATTTAAAAAACTGGAGGTCATATCTCTTAAAGGATAATAGGGTTGAAGGGAAACAGTGTGTTCCAGTATGTTGTCTTTTATACTGTGGTTTTATGCACAGTTGTTGTGTACTATACAGTGTGCAGCATAGCAGATAAGAAGAACTCACATCCGTAACATGGAATCATCTTATAAATGTGGCTTTATGACCCTTTTTGTTGGTCCAGCTTTATTTTCTAGGTTGCTTGAATTTTGCTAAAACATTTTTTTTCCCTGAGAAATGGGTAACATTATATTTTGTTTGTCATTTTGTCTTTGCGTCTTACTGCTCTGTCTGTGTTTTTATTCCCCCGCCATTCACAGGAGGCTTTAATTCATTTCGGCTCTTTGCTGATCTGAGTGAAGGCTCACATGGCTTTTCCAGTGGTCTTTGGACTATTGTAATAATTGGCTACAACATCCTTCTGGCATGTTTGTCATAGACATGTGAAAATAGTTCAGCATAGCTGAGGAAGAGGAGTTAATAGCATTGAGAATTACATATCAGTAGTCGCTTTTTTATATATTACGCATGATCTCAAGCCATCTCAAACCAAACTAAACAATTAATTTAATCCTGTAAATTAAACTGCCAGTTTATAGAAGTGTTTTTTAAGACTTGAGAAGATTTGAAAGTGCTGCCTGGTTTGCGAGATCTAATATGGGCTGTGTGATAGTTCCACAACTTAAGAGCAAAGGAACAGAAAGCACAGCTTCCCGTGGCAAACGAGATAGTTAAGACTTTCCATTTAAACCTACGTGTTATCTCTTTTCCCCCCTGACATTTCCAGTTAATATTTCTGTGTATTACCGAATCAGCAGTTTTTATCCTAATGTTGGCTGTATTTTGCTAGTGCAAGCAGAATTTCAGTCTAGAACTGCAGCAGCTCTGTAAGATGTAGTTTCAGTGTATATATACTTTAAAGTTTAGAAGCAATACAGTTTTCTTACAAATTAGTCATTTTTTTCCCCCTGTTCTCAATTTTGACCATAATTGTGATGAAAGCTTATCCATTGCGCTTAACTGTTTATGGTGCTGACCCAAAACTAAGTCAAATGTCATAAATAAATGTCAGCTTTTTTTTCCTTACCATATCACTTGCACCCTTGTTTGTGAACAATAGTTTTGATAGTTAGAAAAAATATAAGAACCGTTACAATTCAGATGAGATCGTTCTGCCTATCTAGTTCATTTGGTGATTAGTTGTTAATTTAATTAATTAAATGATCTTATTATGCTGTGTCTTGAAACAAGCCAGGGTATCAGCTTCAGCAGCTGGCTGGGTAGCTTGTTCCAAACTCCCACCACCCTTTGGGTAAAGAAGTGTCTCTTGTTTTTGGATCTAAATGCACTTCCACAGTTTCCATTTGTGCTCTCTGGTTCATGTTTCGCTGCTTTTTCTGAAGCAATATGCTAGGTTGTCAGTGTCTTTGGTGAATTTTAATGGCTGACTTTTTAAAATTATTATAGGTTATGGAAAGCAATTAATAGGTACATTTGATCTTTTGCACATATAATATGAAGCTTTAAGTATAACAATGTCTTTATTTTTTCCAACAGACCAACACTATTGCTTGAAAATTATCAGCCATGGTTAGACTTAAAGGTATACTCAAAAGTGGATGCATCTGTTTCAGAGGTATGATCTCTTGTTGCTTTTTGAACATGTACCTTAGAAATGCACTTCTCAGCACTTCACAGACTTTAAAAGGCTGTTTCATTTGTTCCTAGGTGCTGGAGTTAGTTCTGGAGAACTTTGTTTACCCTTGGTATAGGTATGTTATTCCCTGTTTGAAATACAGATGTACAGATATGAAGTCATGCTTATTGGCACCCTCCATCAACTCCATCAAGCCAGTGTTGTAACCCTATCTGTGGATGGTACTGTACTTGAACTTCAGTCTAAATTGAAAAACTTGTGGGTGATATTTGATCCAGGCTTGACTCATATGTGCAACATATTGTCGAAACATCTTTCTTTCACCTCAGAAATATCGCTAGACTACATCCGATGTTATAATGTTATAATGTCCTATGTTAACTATTGCTGAAAAGCTGATCCACACAATAGTCTTCTCCCGAATCGATTACTGTAGCGCTCTACTCACTGGAGTTTCTACATCCATATTGAACAGACTCCAGTATGTCCAAAATTCAGCAGCCAGGATACTGACCAGGTCTAGTGCAAGTGATCATATTACTCCTATCCTGGAGACCCCGCACTGGCCTCCTGTCAGATTTCGTGTTGACTTAAAAATCTTCATGCTCACCTTAAAGGCTCTACATGGCTTGGCACCTCAGTACCTGCCTGACCTACTATCGTCCTTCTCCCCACCTTGCACCCTTCACTCTTTTGGTCTCCTATCTGTCCCCCAAGCCTGTCTACACTCTGTGGGTTATAGGGCCTTCTCCTGTTATGCTCCAAAGCTTTGGAACTCTCTCGCCAAGGATATCAAAGAGTCCCCTTCCCTTAACTCCTTCAATCCAGACTCAAAACCTTCTGGAAAAGGGCCTTTATTTAACTGGTTCAGTTCTTTACCCCTCTGCTCCTACTATCTTCACTACCCCCATCTACTGTCTCCTCTTATTGTGCATATCTTGTGTAGTTTTTATTGTTGTCGTTCTGTAAAGTGCTTTGAGAAGCCACCTTTAAAGGTGTTATATAAATAAAGTTTATAATAATAATAATAATAATTATTATTATTATTATTATTATTATTATCATCATCATCATAGGCTGGAATGCCGTGGGAGAATGAAAGTACTATGGCAACATACAAATGTTGTGGGGAGAAGAACTCAGGTTTCATATATTCCCTTAACAGGGATGTTACAGATGATGAAGCGTTTGTGGATGAGTTGAGAGTCACGCTGCGCTTCTTTGCTGCAGTCTTGGTTCGCAGGGTGCAGAAGGTAAGAAAAGAACTTGTTTATACGTGATCGCGCCAGTGCGCCCACCACACACACCAGCTGTCGAGTGGGGAGGAGAACAGAGTGATGTTGCTGATTCATGGGTGGGGATTATTAGGAGGCCGTGATTTATAAAGGCCATGGGGAAAATGTGGCCAGGACACCGGGGTAACACCCTTACTCTTTTTGAGAAATGCCCTGGGATTTTTAATGACCACAGAGAGTCAGGACCTCGGTGATTGATCGCATTTGAAGGACAGTGCCTTTTTTACAAAGTAGTGTCCCTATCAATATACTGGGGAATTAGGACTGACACAGACTGCCTGGTGAGCGCCCCCTACTGGCCCCACTAACACTTTTTCCAGCAGTAACCTTAGTTTTCCCCAGGAGGTCTCCCATCCAGGTACTGAGCAGGCTCACACCTGCTGAGCTTCAGTGGGCTGCCAGTGGTGAGCTGCAGGGTGATATAATGGCTGGTGTTCTAAAGACATAACTCAGTGAGATTTTTCGTTAATTTTGCATTGGTGCTGACTTCACAAGTAATTTGTGTATACAGCGGAAGTAATAAAAAACCCTTTACCTGTCTTCAGAGTATTCAAGAGTATTATTTATTTGAATACTTTTTTTTTTCACACTTTTATTTGTTGGGATCTACATTAACATGTTTGCAGTCTGTGGGTTGTTGGTGGTTTAATCTTGTTATGTGACTTGGAAGAATTGTACTAACAGTTTATCTCTTTTTCTTTAAAGATAGTTGGTAAGATACCGTTGCGCCCTGGAGATTTTTTTCTAGTGCCTTTAGTACCCGTATAATTCTAAGTTAGAATTATCTCATATAAATAATGTTTTTTCTTGAACCTGATGCATGTTGTCAGTTTCTGTGTTAGCCAGAAATTGACAGTTGACAATCAAATGACGTTTGATACTCATAAAAGTTCATTCTTAACCTTTGTATTTATACAATTTCTTACTTAAGTGCCCAAAGCAGGACCGTTTTACCTTAAAATGTCAGGTTTACCTTCAGATAATAATGACGTGCTCCTATGGCCAAGTTTTGTGAACTGTAGGGTTTCTGTAGAGTGGAATGGCGAGGCAGCAATGCTAAGCACAGCTTTCAGGTCTCGGGTGTGATTCTGGACAGAGGTATTTGGGATTCGGTGTGGGATTTGGCTGCTCTGTCATTTCCCTTGGGCTTTCACCTGGATCTCTAGTTTCCTTCCTCTTCTAAAAGCATGCGCTCTAGGGAGATCAGTGTCTCCAAATTCTCTCTGTGTGTGTGCGCCATTCAGTTGGCTGGTGTCCATTTGAGGGTATAGTCCCTCCTTCCACCTTATTGCTGGAAGCATAAGCAGCTGGTATTGTAATGATGAACCGATACATTCTGTTGTAGTTTCTGATTAAGACGGATAATTTTCAGACTTAATGTTAATAACTAAGACTAATGAAGAATTTTCATTCACTTGAAACCAAACACACCCTTGTAACACTTGTGGTGATTTATATCTTCAAATATTAGATAAGGACATTGCAAGTATTTTACAGCTAGAACATTACAAAAAAAGCTACATTGTGCTCTTTAAGATATTTATATATTCAATCCATGGCACCATTTCTATCGTGCTTTTGTCATTGTTTCCAGGTTGACGTTCCATCTCTTATAACACGCAAATTGCTGAAAGTTGCAATGAAGCATATTGAAATAATTGCTAAAGCAAGGCAAAAAGGTATTTATAACTTCAGCTTTTTATAACATATAAGGAATGGGTGTGACATGCACAACATGGTATATCTATATATAATGTAACGAGACCAGGCCTGGGCTGTGGTCTGCATTTTATTTTTTAAGGGCAGCGATGACCGAATTTGATTCCTTTGACAACTTGCTAGCTTGTTTTGAAAGCGCTTATTCAAATTTCGTATTCCTTATCATTTTTAAGTGTGTTTATTTCATTTTGTAAGTAACCGAAAGAGCAAAATGTTTTTTTTTTTAATGTGAAGGCTTGTTTTCTTGAATGTTTATGCAATTGCGAGTTCCGTTTTTTAAAAGCTCAGAATTCAGCGATTCACTCTTTTGTGCCTGTTAACTTGGGTGGGAATAAAATCCTTTTTTCTACGTGCCATCCTAGTGAAGAATCCAGAACATGTGCAGCAGGCTGCACTAGAGGAGTATGGGCCAGACCTGCATGTAGCTCTGCGAACTCGAAGAGATGAGCTGGTATACTTGAGGAAGTTAACAGAGATGCTCTTCCCCTACATTCTGCCTCCCAAAGCAACAGACTGCAGGTGTGTTTAACAGCAAGATTAGTCTGTGTACAAAACTGGATTCCTAGCATTTGCCATATGAAAGTAATTTTGTCTGCAACAGCCAACCGGCCCCTTTGAATGAGAACATTGACTGAGTGATCGTGATAATCGTGCGTGTTTTATTTGCATGTGGGCCTTTACTAGTAGAGTCTTCAGAACATCCCGTTGGCCACAGATTAGAGGAGGACCAGTCCGCCCAGCTTGTTTTATTTCTTTGTAGTCCAAAAGCTGATACTGACTCTAGTGGGACTACCTACCTTCCTCAGAAAGGGATAATTCTCCTAACCATTGTTTTCAGAGATGTGCTATGGGTACCATCTCGGGTTTTTTTTTCTTTCATTTCAAGCAGCATTGCTAAACCTTTTAAGCTACTGTATAGGAAATATTAAAGAGTACAGTTTTCTTTTAATGGCCTCTGCTCGCTTTAGGGTCAGGAAAAGGCTCTCGTTCACGAGGTAAAAAAATAAGTGTCATTTCTTTATTTTCAGGTCTCTCACTCTCCTGATCCGCGAAGTACTAGCCGGGTCTGTTTTTCTTCCTGCCATGGACTTCTTGGCTGATCCTGTAAGTAGAGCATTTTGTTTCAGCTGCAACAAGCCTGCCGATTTAGTGCGGAGCTGCGTGCCAAGTTGAGTCCTAGCTAGTCCAGTGCCGTCTCAGGATCGTTCCCAGCTGCACGCTCAGTTGCCATGAGAAACCCTGCAGAACAAATATGGAGACTTCCTGCTCTCATATCTCGTATTCCGGTACTCAGCGTTAAGCTGTTCTACCAAGTAGATATTGAAGATGGCTCTGATTCAGAATATTCAAGTTATTTTTACCACTAAATTAATCTGTCTAGAAGTTGTATTTCCTACTTTTTCATATATGCACTGTATCTGAATGCTTGTGATGATTTAATGTTAAATTTCATAAATAAAAATAGAATAATGTATGTACAAATACTCCCAACGAGGGCATGTCACTAGATATGCGACATTCTACCAATTTCAATCCACCACCAAAAGAATACAGTGGCTCTGCTTACGAATTTGATTGGAAATTCACAGTATCATAGTAATTTTAATTTTCATTGATAAATGTTAGAGATGTACTGAGACACTCCACTTAAGTGAACACATTGGTAATTAGTTTTTGTGATAGGCTTTGGCTTTATTAATGTGCACAGAATACTTTAAAAGGTAAACCTCATGCCTAGCCGTGTACTACATTTGTTATACTTCATCTGAGAGTGTTTTCTCTTAACCATTTGTAGCAGTTGGGTCTGTACAGTTTTGATAACGACCCTGATTTTCAGAAGATTAAGCTACTGGAGTCTTAACTGCAATACAGGGGATCTTTTATACAGTATACTCTTGCATTTACTTACATAAAATAATGCATTGTACCCACCGTTCCCCTGTTTCTCAATATCCCTGCTGCCACCAGAGTCCACTCACCATAAATAACAGAACAAATACCTAAGCAACAGTCAGATGTGACTGACATACTGCAAGAGTCAGGTTCTGTTTGCTTATACGTGTTTGTCTAGATTTCATTTTTTTTCATTCCTCAGAATATTTATCTCCATATACATCTAAGAACTCACTATTTCACACCACAGGCTCTATGTGTATTAGTAGGTGTGATATTGATAAGACCTTGCTTCATGATTAGAACATGAGACATAGGTCTGTTGTATTGTGGTTGGAATGCAATTGTAGGTGACTATTACAATACATTTCACGGCAGTGGACACTTAAAAATATAACTTATTAATGATATTTCAGTAGTTCACTGCTACTACATTCAGAGCTTTCTCATGCGATCCAGTGTTCCTCTTACTTGTGTACTTAATTGCATAGTCTATAGGAAGAATTGTATTAACTTAGTCTTGTGCTTTAGTGTCCTCTAGAGGGCAGCAACTGTTGCTTTTGGCTTATTGCAAGTGAGAACATTTTTAGTGTGGAGCTGATAATGACATTCCAGCAACCAAATTTGTTGCAACAAATGTTAACCTACAATACTAATTTAGTTTAGAAGGGAGCTCCATACTAACCATGGGATCATCCTCAGTATTCTGCTTTCAGTTTGTTGCAATTGATTGATTTTGTAGGTTAGCAGCGTGGCATGCCAACTGTAAGTATTTGCTGGTGTTTTTGTTTTTTTGCAGGATACTGTGAACCATTTAATCCTTATATTCATTGACGACTCTCTTGTAAGTAC